GCTACAAATATATATGCATCCAGTCCGAATAGAGCGTTCATCATGTCGCGAGAGTGGGGCCACCAGAATGTACGAATAAATACATACGCGGAGCAAACAACGAGGATTTGGCGAACCCACTGCCTCTCCATTGACTCATTCTTCTCTTCCGTCGTATTTTATTTGTATGGAAAAGTTTGTTGGCCGGCCAGCAGCCCAGGCAAACATTCCTTCCCTTCCTCTTCCCGTTTGCGTGTGTGCCACAGGCACGGTTTGATTCCAGTGGCATTGTCGCCTCCACGCAACCACATCCTTCTGTTGCCGCATTTGCGGAGCCAATGGGCTTGGGCATCCAGAGCACACACAAACACACACGGCCGCAACAAGAGGGACGGGCGCATCCAAGTCCACGGCGCGGTCCTTTGCTTCTCTCCGCCGCGACGGAATAGCGCTGCGCCTCGCAGCAGGTCGTGGCGGGTGGCGTCCCACACTCACAACTGAGGCACGGCGCACGCCATCCGCTCCCCTCCGAGTGCAGTCAGCAGGCCGGCGCCCAGTCACCCCAGTGCCATCGCAAAGGGGGAACACAAACAATCGTCGTCGCGGACCATCGGTGTTGCTAGCAGGAAAGAAAGAAGAAGAAATGGAGGCATGCCAGCAGCACAGCCGGCAGAGGGACATTCAACAGGACACGGAGACACAAAGTGACATGGGACACGGCACAGACGGAAAAAAAAGACTTTAGTGATTTACCAAAACAAAAAGAAGAAAAAATGAAAAAATGAAAAAAGAAAGAAAAAGCAAAAACAATTGACTCGGCATATATGTCATTTCATGTGCCACGCAGCACAATGCAACCGTGTTCTTGGGTTTATACACACTGCCCGCACACACACAAAAATAAAAGGGAATTGTACTCTCCCACCAGCCCACACAACATCCCTCACATTCCATGCGGCATCCGGCCTGCTCCTCCACTCCTCCCTTCGTGCAGTCCGTGGGACGCACAGCAATGAGGCCGGCACCGCGTGTGGGCAAAAAAAGCAAACAAAAGAGGGGGAAACACGTCACGCATGACGGTTTGCAGCAGGCGACCGTTTTTTGGGGAAAACACACAAACAGGGGTGCTGATTATTTCAGCAGAGCACCAGCAATAAAAAACACCAAAAACAAAAAAAAGGAAAAAAAAGAAAAAGAAAAAACACAGAAAAGGAAAGAAAAAAAGAAAAAAGAGAAAAAACGTAGAAAAGAGAAAGTATCATTGGCAAAACTCATTGAGTATTGCTGGGATGCCGCTCAGTTGTTGCTCCACAGAATTCTGCAATTTTTCTCTCCCCAATTCATTCAACAGAGAGCCGCAGTGCCCCACAGCCCCAGAAGCATCGGCAACAGCATCCGAGACACAAACCCATGCACGGTGCTCTCAGCAAATAGAGCCATGCCCGCCAACTCGCTGTAATGCCCGTTCTCAAGCAAAATGCCAGCGTCCGAGGGTGCTGTTGCGTTGGACTTCGATGAGATCTCGGTTTCCCCAGGCAGGGTGCTCGCATTGCCCGATGCGGTGTCGACTGTCTGTGGCACCTCCTCGCCGTTTTCAACGGGAAATTCGTCTCCTTCAGTCCGAGAGACGTCGTCGGTGTTCTCCGCGGATGTGGTTTCGGCGTCACTCTTTGAAGGAGTGAGGCTGCTGTCTGAGCCCATTGTTCTCTCGGAATTTCCGTCCCTCGCCTCGAGGCTGAGGTTTCGCTCCGTGCCAGTAGTTCCGGTTCCAGTGGACCGCACTTCGTTGTTTTCAGAGGAAAGCTCAACGCTTTGTTGCACTTGGTGCTCACCGTCAACTGTTTCGGTGGTCGGATCCATATCCGATGATACAGCCACTGAGGACGTTGTTCCGCCACTCTTGTCATTTGCTTCTCCCTCCTCCACTGTTTGTTCTGTATCATTACTTTCAGAGGACATTTCAACATCATTGAACTCCGTTGATTCCGCTGACTGTAGGTCTTGTGTCTGCGCATCTGAATCCCGCTGCATCGATTCCTTTTCTCCAGTCGGCGTGAATTGCTGAGACTTTTCTCCTCCGGAAAGCTGGATATTGTCATCTGGAAGAGAATTCTCTGCGCTCTCCGCTGCGGTGGCAGGTTTAGGAACAGATGATCCCGCGACAACCGTGGAAGGGGGCGCCACAGGCACCAAATTAAGGACGCTTTCTTCATCTTGTTTATCACGATCACCCTCTGTCAATTTCTCAGCGGTGGCGCTTTCTTTACTCCTTGATCCGGAAGCAACCGAGTCGTCTGTGCTGGCCGCCTGTCCTGTGGGCTGTTCCTCAACACCCAGTGATGGAATAGTGACTTTGCTGTCTGGGAGTTCATTCAGATCATCTTCAGACAGTTCCTCGTTGTACAGCATGACGTTGGTCACCGTCACGCGGCCGCCCGTTGCACTTTGGTCCTTACTGTCCCCACCGATGTAGAAGTGTGAAATCCTGTGCGAGTCAAACAGACTCGTATTGTATTCCGTGTGGTGGATTTCCTCTCCGTCTACAAAGACAGTCCAATAATAATAATCCATTCGCAGTACCACCTGATACGCCCTGTTTGGCTCCCAATCATCAAAATATTCCCCATCACCCGGTATGGCCAGCCACTTCTTGTCGTGGGTGTACGACAGACCAAAGAGCACCGTGCTGCTGGTGTCATTCATCCTCACGCCCATCAAAGGAATGGGGCTGCTGCCACTCTGCGGCACCTCGTGGATGGAAACCGTCGCCACAAGAGTGAACTCGTTGTTAGCAAAGTAGTACGGCACAGTCTGCCCCATGTCGCCAACAGGCCACACCGCCCCTGCTTCAGACCCTTTGAACGTCAATCCATTGGGAACCACTATCCTTTTTTCCGCCGGTCCATGTACAATGGCGTTCACGCCGAGGTACTCGTCCCTCCATGTGTTCTCAGAGAAGTTACCGGACAAGAAGCCAACAAGCCCATCAGTGGGAACAGGACCATTGCACATACCCTTCGTTGGCAAGTCGACAGTGCCGCTGGAACCGGAACGGCATGTTCTCAAGGCGCTGTCCAAATCCTTCCATTTCTTCACCACCTCCTTTATCCGCTCCAGTTTCCCGGTCAGACGCACAGCAACAAGATTGTATGATCCGTCGCTCTTCTTGTTCTCGTACAGTGAAATCAACTCCTTATTTTCATCTTTTATCAACAGGGAGCTCGCGGCAGCGTCATCAGCCTCACGGGATATCGGCCCAACATCATACACACGCGCCTTGTCCGTCACCCAAAGATGAAGCCGACCTTTTCCACCTTCATTGTCCTTCGCATACACCGGCGCGGTGATGAGCATCACCTCCTTTTCCTCAATAATTGCATTGGTGAATCCACTCTGGACACCGTACCCCTTTCGATTGTGTGAGTTGCCCCAAACGCGGTTAATTGGCTCACCCAACGTATTCCAACCGTACCCATCCGAGGTAGAACTGTAAACGTCATAGTAGCCTCCAGCACAATGAGCCATCATGAAGAGTTCTTCGCCGTATTCGTATTTTTCCCACTTCACCAGGGTTGGATCCCTGCAGCCCTTACCAGTCGCCGTGTGTGAAAGCTCCCATTTTTTGTCTGACGGGGTAAAACTCATGGACAGTAAAATGCGTTCCTCATCACTGTTTTTGGCCTGCATGGGAAACACAATCGTGCCGTCACGCATCACAGCACCCGATCCTCCACCGCCAATTAACTCGGTCAAGGAGACAGATTCTCTTTTTCCTTGAGGGTTCACCACATGGGTCTCATTCCATTTGATTTTCTTCGTCCTACCCTCATCAGTGACAGTTCCCCTCACGAGTAAAAGGCCTGGCTCATTCGTACCCCCAACCGGCGGCTTTGCACGACTGTAATTTCCCAGGAGCACGTAAACACTGTCCTCAATTACAAGTGTCGTTGGTCGCGTTATGCCGTTTGTGGTGTGGATGCCCCCAGACCCTTCCTTTAGAGGATCTGCGCCAAAGATACTCGCATTCGCCGTCAAGATCTCCGTTGGGCCAGCAACACCACTTAAACCAAGGTACTTTGACGCAATCCCAGTAAAGCTGAATTTGCTGCAGTCGCCTCCATCCTTGCAATGGGCTTCAGCAATAGCAAATACATGACCCTGCACCTCAACGAGACTGGGACCACGAATCGAGCCGTACTTACCACCAGCGTCAAAGACATCCTTCCAGTTGTCAAGCTTTTCCCATCCAATCCCCCTCAATGCATCAACTGCTTTCTTTACATTACTCTCCCCAGCAGAAGCAGTTCCACCGCTGCAGCACATCAAGACAAGTAGAATCAGCAGCGTGGAATGGAAGAGATGCCGGGAAACGTTGGGCCTCTGCTGCTCACTCTCTCTTCCTCCCTTCCTCCTTCCGCTGGATCCGGTCACGCGGCGACGGTTGTGTGTGCGGGGTGCCATGACTGCAGCAACACGTGAGAGCATACAAATATGTGAGTGTGTGGGCGGTGTGTGTGCTGTTGGTCCTTTCAGAGCCCTCCAATTTCACAGTAGCGAGTAGCGCTTTTTTGCTTTCCTTCCTAGCGTGCGTGTGTTCAAGAGGCGGAGAGGAGCACAGCGACAGCGGCAACACATCAGACACGTCAGTGGGGAGCAGAGGAGAGCACCCACGCGGAGAGCGGAGCACGAGACAATCCGGAAGAAACAGCAGGGAAAACCATCGCCCACAGAAACGAGCAGCAACACGCCTCACACCCAACAGGGAAAGAAAGACAGACAGAGAGTGAGAGAAATGGGTGGATGCCGTCAAGAGGCGCTCACGATCCACACGGCGCGTGAGCATGCGGCCACATCCCCGCAGCCGACACACAGCGCACCCCGAGCGAGCAACAACCCCACAAGCTACACGCGGAAGTGGTGCCTCATCCATCCATGACGCGGCACACAAAATTTCACTGCCATCCCGCACCCAATGAGAAGTGGTGCGTCACTCCACGCGGCGACAAAAAGTGAATATCCACTGGGCCGCTTTCCTCATCCTGAGGCTACCAATAATAGAAGTCAAGCAGGACGGGAATGAGAAGTAGATGAAAACAAGTGGGTTCACCGCATTCTAAAAGTTTACACCAGGTAAGTGTATATGTATAAATACCACCCGATGACCACAATTGTGGCCCGCTCACTCCATTCGGATTCGATATATCTATTTTTATACGTTAAGAAGTGGAAGACATGGGGCTCATCCAGCCACAAGAAACCGCCGCTGCCCTTCGCAAGTTCCACTCCTTCGCCAGGTCCTCGTATGTGAACACGCGACCGCGTGACACGCCATCTGCGGGGTTTCCGCAGACCGTGCGTAGGCAAAGGCTTTCTGTGATCCGCGAGAGTCCAAAAGCCCTTGTATCCGTTGCAGCTCACACGTCATGGCGTGCTATTTTGAGCTGCACATATTCGCCGCTCCTCGCAGCGAAGTGCTGTGCGCCCCAACGTCCATGGTGGGTGGCAAGATGGCGGAAAAAGCAGATAGGACTAGGCGTACCACGCGCGCCTCGGCCTGCATGATAAGAAAAGGCTTCCTCTCCCACTTTCATCCGGCAATTTCAACGTCGCCGGAGTCTCGAATAAAAACTGTTCCCCATCCGTGGAGCGATGCACCCGTGATGATGGCGGCCGATGCCCTTTCCGTGGGCTTGATCATTCGCTTACGATTATATTCTCGATCATGTGTCGTAACCTCTCGCCCAAACCAGCCGCTGCCGGTGGAGGGTTCGCCGGGGATGTCTCCAGCACAATCCCTTGGTTAAGTGCCGATCATCGCCGTCGCACTGCCGTGATGAGAAAGTAGTAGGCACACAGGCGCCTGCCCAAAATGGCCGCCGCATATAAAAAGCGTGACGCCATAACCTCCATTTCCGCGACGGTTAAAGAATTGAGCGCCGGCATGGCGCATACAGACCGGAAAAACTTCTCACTCCGTGACACCGTCTGGTGAACATGACCAAACTGCACCCCCAGAAAGGTGTACTGCGCAGCGCCCGATTCGCGATCCTCCCCCATCGTGGCGTGACAGCCGGCCGCATTACGAAGCACTTGGCTTCCCACAATGTCGCACCGCTTTTCGGCCCTGCAATGCGTATATTGTCGGTCCAAGCGTCGACACGCACCAATGGAGGTGCAGCCAGAGGGGGTGAGCCACCGTCGTCACCGCCGCAATCGCCGAATTAATAGTAATCTGGAGAATTTCTGGGCTGGCCTTGTATCCCACTGGGGGCCGTGCCAGCTCCTCCAGCGTGCCGTCCTCCACGCGGCATCGAAAGAGATGCCGTGTCTCCCGCGGTAAAAGGAATTTCAAAAGGGATGCCTTCACATCCAGGCAGGAAGCGGCCTCAGCCAACACAGGCGGCAAACAACGGGAAATGTGTAAAAGAGGAGCATGAGCCTCGCAAGGGTCGTCTCTGTTCTTGTCGCGTGGCCACGCGATCCATCGTCGCAATAAACCGGTGATTTCTCCTCCACAACCGAAAAGGGGCATTATCCATCCGCCTGTTGCTGCAGACAAAGCGTCCTCGATTATTCCCGCTTCCCTCAACAATCGCGCGTCATGACTGGAATCCTCCGTGAGCGTCCGCGCGCTTACCGGATAAGGACAAAGGAAAAGGGGCCGCCCAACGAGTCCCCATGCTTGCACGACTCTCTCCAAGGTAGCCGGGTTCAACCGGCCCCTGATCCGCTCTGGATTCAATACGGGCACGCTGACTTGCTGTAACGGGATAGCGTGTTCATCTTGTGGAGTGGCCAGACGCGTCCTCGTCGCGCGTCTCGCTATTGTAGCAGCATGATGATAAAGATCATGAAAAAACGCTCCGCTGCCCTCAGCCAGGGCTTCTGCACC